TTGTATACTACTGATTATTATTAAGTAGTTCGAGTCATTGTTTACTTCTTTTTATTATAATGGTCACCACAACATTTCATCATTCAAGATTTGTATAATAAAGCTGTAATTATGATATCGGGATTTTTAGCTTGCCCCATCATTTGCTCTGTAATAATCTTTTCACGGAATCGATATTTGGTAATTACATCTAAATATCTTACAAGTTTTTCTACAGTAGGCTAGCTTGAAAAGCTCATTGATTACTAGCCCATATGTCAGGATCAAATCAAGCTAACTGTGAACTCCAATACTGGTCTTTTTTTAATATGTTAGTCTAAATCGAAAGGTTTAACAACAGACTGTGAGCTCGTCAATAAATATTAAAAACTATTCTATATCAAGGACTTGGTTCTAGTTCTCTCCATTTTTATATACTTTCCTTCTCATCTTTGTGACATACAGTTGTCAAGGCTTTTAATCGGAAACGTGCAATCTCACTGCTTCATTATATCATCTCCTAAGTTTTGAATCCTCTATTGTCCCATGATCTTCCTTATTTCATTCCTTTTAGAACAAAGTCCACTCTGTTTAATGTCACCACCATTGATATTGATACTGTATTATTATTTTTACTACTTTGCAATCGTTTTGTTGATTTCAGTGCTGATATAGTGTAATAACTTGCACTGACCCATACCTATGTCGGATTACAACTGACTGATAAACCAAATGTTATCCAATCTTCAATTGCATGAGGGCTAATGATAGTACCTGGCAGATCCAACCGAATTAAGTGAAGCTAAGTCTAAAGTGATCACAATGGCGTCGGTGTATACTCTCTGTCTTCCCCTAAAGTAAGAGATTAAAATCGCTTCATATCTTTCTTTCTACCAATTAACTCTTTCTTCCCGTACTATATCCTTATTGCAATCTTTCTTTTATATATTACCACCTCTGAATTAACTACTTTAATGAATCCGGTGTTCATCTTGTTGTGTTAATGAGGTATGGCAACTTGGACCGATGCATATATGTGCCTGGTCCTACGTTGTAGCTGACTGACTGACTGAAGCTAAGTCTAAAACAACACTCCAGTCATTGTATATTAAGTTCTTTAAAAATTGACCCATTCGTAACTGATATGAATATGGACATTGCTATTAAATTTCTAGATGATTAGGCTATTAGTAATATGTTAAGTATGAGATCTGAAGGCTTATTTATTTATTTGTGTCTTCAGGTAAGTATAATAACTCTCAACTGTTGGTGCTGCATCGACGTGGTGGTCATGCTTGCCTGTCGTGATGACTCAGCCGACCTATATTGGCTAGAACACATGTTCATTTACGTCTTACCATATCAGGCAGGTCGGTTGAAGAATGGTAAGACTAAAAACAGCAAACCCAAGGGCGAAGTCGTACTGCTGACTGTACAGTTGTGTGACGGCATTAAGGTGTTCCCCTCAGACAACCAGCATGACAATGATGCTGCACACCTCGCCTTATCCTATGGATTTCCAACTCCAGCGGTAAGGTCACAACAAGTAACATGAAAACCTCCCATAAAAAGGTCGTGTGACTAGTCTCAAGCAATTGTCCCTTGAAAATACAGTTACGCTCTTTGGTCATTAAGACAAACTCTAACCCAATTTGTTTTCCATGTATCTCTAAAAGAACTCTTCCACGGCGTGGGCAACCGGGAATTGATAACCACTCTCATACCTGTAACAACATTCAAGACCACTGTAACAATAACTCCTAACTACGCTTCGATAACTGGGTACCATAATTTTTGTCCTTCCTAACCCTGATTATTTCAAAAGATAAGCTTGAAAGAAAACTTTATTGTTAGAGATTAAGTAAGATTGATTCAAGCATTATATTACAGTTACAGCAACTCTAAGAAAAGAGTGAAAAATTCTAAGCACTAAAGATACAGATCAATATGAAAACAGCACCTTTTATCACGATGAAGAACAACTTTCGTGCAAAAGTTTCACGTGCAAAAAGAGACATGAATTCAAATTTACAAAATAAGAATCAGTAACATTGTCAACATTGATTCTAAGAATGAATCGAATTTCAATTTCTAGAGAAAAACTTTCTAACGATTCACATCAGTGTTATTTTTTTGTGAAATAAATAAATAAGACTGAAAATTACAATTTGATACGATCAATAAGCAAACAACAGTTTAACACTTCAGTGTAGTTTAAATTAAAACATGTTCAATTGTATATTAATATACTTGGAAACAAAACTCAACATCATTAAGACATCCATATGTTTCTTGTTTAAAAATAAAATTTAAAAACTCACATTTAGAACTTAATTTTTACTATCGACCAACATGAATGTTATAATGCTCGATTTTACTTTGTCTAATGTTATAACGGTTAATTTTTCCACATTTACATGTATGGGACGTTCATTTGCCATAAACGAATATCTACACTAGATTCTCTCCTAGTGTCTATTCTACAGGACGTCAACATAACTCAGATGATCAAGAACACGTGATTAGTCTGACCACAACGTAAATATATTTCCACACTAAAAACCTGACACAATCTAACAACAATGAATAATCAATAATAAGTGATAATAATAAGGATAGGGGAATATATAACTCATCTGACACACCTGTCAGACTATCTACATGTCTGACTATGCAAACAACCAATCATTATCATCTACGCTCACACATCAATGAACTAGCATAATATTGAAAGCGAAAGAATCCTAGACAACAATCAGCTACTCACTGATGAAGAGGGCACAGTAACCAACATGATAGGGGACACAATGTACATGTGTATCAGCATCAAACTACTCAATAACCACTAGTGGATATGTTGGACTTTGTCATTTAGTAATATGCAGAAATGATTGGTACTATCAATGAGTTCGCTTACAATATTGATCAAGGCAATCTAATGTTAAGTTAATAATGTGAACAACTAGAGCCAACGATTTAACGACGTCAAGCTAAGCTCGAGAATTGAATGTTTTAAGGTCGTTCTGGTGTAAGAACTTCACTGTCTACTGCTGAGTACCAAATAATGACGAAATAGATTTACTCGTATTGTAAGAAGATTTAATCGATAATGCGTTACAATTACGATTTCGTCAGTAGTTTTATACAATGCGGAATGTACCCAAAATGAATTCATCCCAGCAATATGAAATAATTTATTTGCGTAAATCGTTGAATAAAGCTTCATAATGATCTGTAGTTTTGTTAACCTAAAATACCAATGGAATTTGACGGTGCATCACGGAAACCTATTCAAATATTCGAGAGTGATCGCCAACTCTTCGTTCAAGAGCTCGCGCGCGGAACCAGTAGGTCCTGGGTTCGAATGTCGCAGGGGGCGAGGTCGTGGATGCGCGCTGCTGAGGAGTCCCACAATAGGACGAGACGGCCGTCCAGTGCTTCCAGGTTTTCCATGGTGGTCTAGCTTCAACTGACTCATCATCTTAATCATTGAAATTACCATAATATCCACAAAACCCATCTGATAAAATCAAACTGTCAACATGTTGCTTCTGGTTTTTCATAGCTGTTTTACATTCAACAATAAACTTTAAAGCTTTGGATAAGCAAAAAATCTACGATATATAGCACTCATATTATGTTCTTATCTCGCCTATCAATATTGGAAACCTATAACTACTCTCATCGTTGAACATTTTAAAATGGATCTATTTCTTACATTTTAATGAAGATATTTGTTTATTTGGGTTTTGATAGGTCGGATACTGATAAGTATTAGAGTAAAACAATTAATTCCCTTAATACTCAATAATGATCATGAAATATGTGCGCTTTTTATTAAACAGTATCTATTGTTCATCAAACAATTGACTATCTGTCAACACAAAAGTCATCAAGTTTATTCATAAAAGAGTGATTATGAATAACGAAACTGGATTAATCAACCCAGAGAACTGCAACTACGGTCAAGTAACAACGTACAACTTTGTACTTACGTACATCAGTTCGAGTTGCCATACCACATTAGCACAGAGATGCAGTTGTCGATTCAACTGCAACTACAACAACTTGAAATCTTATCCATCCACCATCTTATGATTTTGTGAACCAACCGAAGGCATTTTGAATAAATACATTTTTTTTACATTGATCGCAATAAAATGAATATGGATATATATATATGTGGATGTTGGCATATATCAAAATGGTACATAAGAAAGAAGAGATTGACTAGTAATGAAAAACAAACAAACAAATACCAGCGACAGTAGTGAGAGAAAAATTGTTCCAAGCGATATAACACACAAGAAGAAGAAAAAAACACGCTCCATCAGATCATAATTAACAAGAACTTCTTTTATTCTTATAGGTAACATTATTGTTAAGATTTAAAGTGGTTCTATTTTGTTCATAACATAGGTTTATTATTCATTGAATTCACTTGTTATTCCGATCTGTGCAAATATACACAAGCATATCGATACAGTTGATAGAACAAAGGTGATTAGGTTGATTTTCTTATCATGAGAAAGTAAAAACGTTCAAATTGATTGACCACTTATATATAAAGATTGATAGTGAAATAAGGAAGTTTCTTTTTCTCATTTCTTGCAATGATTATCCTCAATTATTTGACCAGGAATTTCATTGACAATAGATAGAGTAAATGATGATAAAGAATAATGAGAATATGTTACCTATAAAGATTGTGCGTGAATTAACTTGCATGTGTATATATATAGTGAAGTGAATAAGATAGAAGCATAAACTATATAACCGTCCTTATTTTTACTCTCACAGAGAACACATATGATAGAAATGATAAATAGATGCACACAAAAAAAAACGAACAAACAATTTCCATCAAAATATCAGAATTTACGAAAATGCCAAAGGTTTATGTATATATATAAGATATTGTTTTACTGTGTACACCACATATAACGAACAATTGTATAATAATTAATTCTCACATACACATACTCTTAACCGTCGACTATACGGTTATAAAGAGGTCGGAATTATTCCTGATGTATTCCTGTTGGAAAAAAGAGGAGAAAAAAATTGATTTTCAAAAAAAAAATAATAGAGCAAGCAGGTTGGTCAAGAATATTCTTCCGAACTATATGAGAATATTGAAAAATGTAAGATATGAAAATACAGTCAGTCAGATACAACGTAGAATCAGGAATATACGTGCATTGGTCCAAGTTGCCATACCTCATTCGCACAACAAGATGAACACCAAATTCATAGAAGTAGTTAATCCAATGGTAATAATATATAAAAGAAAGATTGTATATAATGATATAGTACAGGAAGAAAGAAAGATATAAAGCAGTTTTAATCTCATAGTTGAAGGGAAGATAGAGAGTGTACACACCTACGCGATTGTGATCGATTCTGAGCCATGTCGCCCACGGGCAACAACCATTGATTACGATAGTGATGCGAACCCCAACCAAGTAGTCTGCATCTACCAACATCGCTCAGACTAGAAGTTAGTGACTTCAAACACTGATGCTAATTTTTGGTTTGGCTGCCCCGAACTTTCTTCCAACCATCTCCAACACCAGTCAGCATTGCGCGACGTGGTAATCGGTGTTCAAGCATATGTAACACGTGGCCTGCTAAATTCACAAATATTAACTAGTCACTTCGATCGCTTACAGTTCCTAATTATTCGATTTTTGCGAATACAAATCAGCAAGCCGCTACCTGCCTACACAGAACAAACCAGGAGTCAAACACTTAAAAAGACAAGTTATATTTAGCTACCACTAAACGTTTTAGAACCCTCTTTTGTGTTGGTCACGAAAAGTATAAGAGGACAGTAACATAAAAATCCAATAAGAAATATGTTGTTTTAGAGCAGATACCTGAATTCCAATTTTTGCTAGGATTGACCACATTATTCATTGCGAAACAGGAGTCTCCGAAATTCGAACTAATAACAGGGTTGTAATACACAGATTCATTTGTATGAATTCCACTGCCAGAAACATTTGTCAAAGGTTCAATAACGGGAGTAGCTGAAGGAATGTTTACTGATCTAAGCATTGAAGAAGCAATCTGAGAATGATTCGATGTCATAAAACGACCAAATTCTAGTGAAGATTGATTAACTGGTTGAGGAGATAATTGCATAGAATGTGGTTGATTTTGTAATAGATTATCGTTGGCAACTGCTAAAGGGATTGTTTGAACAACATTTGGAATTGAACCAGTGGCAGCAAGAAATCCAGTCGCTTGATTCATTGTATAAACAGGACTATTTCGATAATTTATTTGTCCGCTATTATTATTAGGCATACCAACGCCACCGACAACCGCAGCCGCCGCTGCAGCCAATGATATAGGATTACCATTATTGACCATAGTTTGTGATTGCATCTCCATTTGTTGTTGTTGTTGTGCACACAGATTAGCATAATATGTCTCCGTCGGTGAACGAACATGTGAACCAGGCGGTGGTGCCGGAGGATATCCATTGTATCGAAAGTGTGGATTTTTCAAATCTAAACTATTAACAATCTATGATTGATGATAAACAATAATAAACAATGATAGATAATAATTTAATGTGATGATCATTATAATGTTAAATATATGTGATGAGATTATAATTTATGGATGACGTTTGTGAAATATACTAAGGTGACCTTGAGAAACTTCACTTCCCAAGATCAAAATAAGGTTATGAATCAGTGCTAGAAATCAGAGAAAGGGTTTTTATCACCAAATCACATCAACTCTAATGTAAAAATGCTATTCATTCAGTGATATGAATGAATGAATTGCGAGAAAAAACCTAAAAGTTGGTTTGTTCCTAAATTATAGTCTCACCGTTTATATAAATATGAAAGGTGACAAATTCTTATCAAAAGCAGTTTACTATTACTGTATTCATAGAATGTCAATCATAGTGAAAAAAAATTCAGAACCCGTTAGTGGAATACCATACACCACTATCGATAGTAACAGATATGCACATATGCATCCATCTATGTGTTGTTTGCAATCTTTCAACAGACTTCGTCATCATTAATTTTCGTATATATGGTAAGTGGTTAGCTAGCAGTATTATACAGGACGTGTATTTCGTCCTGCTTGAAATTTTTCAACTGGATGCACCTGTACTCCAGTGTTCATGTTTACGCTGGAACTCAAACTCAGTACTTTTCACTTCGAAAGCCCAACGCGTTAACCGCTGAGTCAAAATATTCACTAACCTGTTGAACGGAAACGAAGGTTCCCACATCATTTTATTATTATCCTTTGTAGATTCCCTTTCATTTTGTTTTGTCGTATCCAACGTGCAAATTGCTGTACTCTATTGACTATTTTGTGTTAGTTATAGCCATTTATATAAATTCAGAATGTAGCGCAATGATAATATTTACAATAAATAATCATAATAATACATTATAAAAGGTTTATAGAAATACTAAAACAAATAAATATAACCAATCTCTTTTCGAGCTTTATTTGTCTAAAAACCAATACCTAACTTTATATAGTGCGAGTGGATTTATACAGTCACCGAAAGAAATCACATTTGCAGTCATATATTTATTTGGCGTATAACATGAATTACCACCGTATACAGACAGACCAACATAAGTGTAGTTTTGTATGTCAGTCAGTCACAATCCAGAACCTGGTTCAAGTTGTCATATCCCATTAGTAAAGATGAAATTTTCAGGCCAAATCCCAGAATAGTAGAGGTAGTAACAGTATCAGTCGTAATAGAAAAGATTGTACATCGAAGATGTAATTCAGGAAAATATAAATAAGTAAAATAGAAGAATCTTGTATAAAAAAAAATAAAAATACCGAATATAAAAAATACTGTATCATGATATACCTTTGTTTCACTACCAGGAACTATCAGTTCGATTTGAACATCATAGGACTGTCTAGAATTAGCATGCATAAGAACACGTCCATTAAGTGACTGACCTTCTTGAACGAATAATGGTGTTCCCATAAGACAACGCACCTAATTGAATGCAAGATGATAATAATAAATTATCGTTCTGGCATTTTTAAAGATTTGTGGAATTGAAGCATTTTTGTGACAAGAAAAGTTAACTAACACATATATGAGTTCAAAGAAGTATAATACCCTTTAGTATTTAAATAAAAATTTACTATCCACACTCAATTTGAGAATAAAAGGCGATGGGTGCACCTAATCTGTAGGTTTACGATCTATATATACATACAGAAAACTATGCTAGCTATATATCAATTTAAAGAATTATTATCTAACAATCTGGACTGTGTGGCAAGCCCTTACATGGAATCTTCAAGGCCAAAGGAAAAGAGGAAGACCATAGAACATATTACGCCGAGAAGTGCAGACAGACATAAGAATGAACAACAATTGGATAGAACTAGAAAGGAAGGCCCAGGACAGAGAGAGTTTGGAGAATGCTAGTCGGCGGTCTATGCTCCATTGGGGGTAACAGGCGTAGGTAATCTGGACTGTGTAAATTTCCTTATAGGTATTTTATTCAAGATAGACACTATATGTATGTATTTCTCCTGAAATCTTCCTCTAAATCGTGAATATCATACTTAGCGATTAAAACTTTTCGTTTCCCTGTTTTTTTTATCATTGTTGTTCGCACTAGAAATAAAGAAAACATTTTACTCCTGATAGTGTCACCTTTTCTCTGACTGAACTCTTTTTTCTTTTACCGATTACAAATTGTAATAACTATAAATGGTACATATTTTGCACCAAAATTTATAATCTTTCTAAATTGTTTACGCCTATTTTACTTGCTATTGTATTATGGATATCACTGAATATATTGTGTGCAATCTCACTATTTGTTGGAGATGTTAGATCCCCAGAATTCACTTGGTAAATACCGTTTTTTGTAATTTTATTTTAAAAATTTGAATTCCTTGTTTTCACGCCGAAAGCGCCCATTTTTAAGTCCATTTCGTACTTCCCACTTGGGGAAATCTTAAACACTATTGGTTCGTTGTATCTCTTAGTATGCCATTTTGTAACGCTTCCGAATGACAATTTTATGCCCGTCGTAATTGCTCGTGCTTCTGGCTGTTTGCGGAATATATTTCCCCGTTTAGAACATGGACTTCTCTCTCTAATTAGCGGAGCTGGAACGCATCAGAATAGCTAGCTTATTGGTCTTTGGTCCGTTCACAGACTAGGTGAATTCGTAATCGTTTCAAACATATCACTATTTTGTAACTTTGCTTTTTCCTAATCCGTAAGTAATAGTACATACACACTGTTATCACTCAAATTATACGGAATGCAATTGGTTTTCACGTTAACTGAACACATGTATACAATATGAAACACCAGATCGAACATATCATCAAATCAAACTCAATGATTATACTAACCCATTTTCTCTTTAAGCTAAATACTATTGTGCATTTATTTGGACAACAGTGGGAAAATTATTTTTTATAAATGAACCTCCGTGTCGGGAAGGTATAGAAAACTGACAAACGTAATGCGCACACATATAAAGAATAAAATTTGCTAAAACTTTAGATAACTTTCTTTTGTCTTACTTGATACCAATGAGTAAGTGGTTCAGTTGGTGCAGTTGACAACCAAACATCTCGCTGAGAACCTAAGAAACCAACATCAAACCAAAATGCAAGGCCATGGATCTGGATTTGTACCGAACAATATAGAATAAATGGGAAAAAGAAGTGTAAAAGTTACAATCAGCTATAGAATAAGTTAGTATTTAAAAACATTTACAGTTCAATATGTAGGAGGATGACTACGATAATTCATATTTCCGTTTACATGCTAAGATGAGATCGAATGGAGCACAGCTTCCATGTTGTGATTGGTCTTAAACGGTGACGAGTTCTAATCTCTCAATAACCCTTGCATTGGCGTGAGTGGTATATTACAATCTATTTTAATACATTTTTTTAATCAGCTTTAATAAAAACTATTCGCTTGCTTTACAAAATGGATGCATCGGTTATGCAAACGATTCTTCAAACTTAATAATGCAAATTAGTTTTGTTTATTTCAAATAATTTCACTAAATTTATATTTACTTGAACGCATAAATATTGGTACAAGGGGGTACCGTATATGTATGCGCCACACAAATCACTTGATTTGTTTAAGGGCTGTGATACTGCCCGGGTGCTCAGACCGAAGCAGGTGGTTTTCTTAGGGGGCCACACCCCGGAGTGGAGCAACGAAAGGAGATACAGTTCGATGGTAGCCAGTGACCAACAATAGGTTCAACGCCATTTGTTCCCGCAGGATCCTGGAGCCCATGTGCACTATTGGTTTGAAATCACGGTTTTCCAACTCTTCTAGGTGGGTCTTCCATATCCACAAACCTGGTTAAAGCTCCGGATATTCGCTTTTCGTCCTCTCAATTCTGTAAACAACAGTAATGCCGTGAGAAGGCAGTGAGTAGAACTTCCCTGGTAGAGGCTATGGTACGCGTGGCCATGTGAGAGCATTTGGACAAGGTGAGCTGACTCTCACCACCCTCGGTCATACCAAGGCATAATTAATACACATGTTATCCATCATACGATCCATTTGACTTATTGTCGCCACCATTTTTAACGAACTGTTACCACATTCGGTGAGCTCCTTGAAAACGTATATTGAAAATGATAAATCCCTATAATAAGTGGGATTTGATGAATTTAAAAGATCTTTTCGTTGAAAGGAATTAATCATAAGCTACTTCGTTTTCTATCTAATGATTCTAATATTTAATATTCAATTAATGAATCATAAATTTAGACCAACTTTTATCTGATAACGAAATTTTGGACAATTGAAAAGAGTACCGTTATTAGCGATTATTCGATAGGTTTAGCTGAGAAACTGACGTACATATTACATTCCTAGATAACTAATTTCAATTACAGTTATTTTTAACATACCAAAAATTTTTCACGCAATGACATTCTGCAGTGATTTTATTTCACAACATAATTTATATCATAACAAAAAACTAAAGAAAGTTTACATCAAATAGTTGAATTCATGAGTCAATTGAAGATAGACCACAATAGAAAACCTGGAAACACTAGACGGCCGTTTCATCCTAACTTTATCTAGCTTCAATTGACTCATGAATTCAATTATTACACCGGGGCCGGTCAGTACTTGCAGGGGTGACCGGCTGGGAATACCGGGTGTCGCCGGCTTAAAAAAAAGCCCCCAAATGCCGTGGTACGGCCGAGAGTGGAGAGAGTCCGCTCTCCCTCTCGAAATGCTCTCATATGGCCACGCGTATATAGCCTCTTCCAGGGAAGTCCTGCTCACTGTCTTTATGTGGCATTACAGTTGTTTACGAAATTAAGAGGACGAAAAGCGAACGTCCGGCGCTTTAACCGGGTTGGTGGACATGGAGAGTCCACCTAGGAGAGTTGGAAAATAACCCTGATTCCAAGCCAATGATGCACATGGGCTCCAGTATCCTGAAGGAACAAATGGCGTATGAACCAATCGTTGGTCACTGGCTACCATCGAACTGTATCTCCTTACGTTGCTCCACTACCTTGTGGATGAGACCTTTAGGTCGAAGGTTCGGGATGTGGCCCCCTAAGAAAACCACCTACTTCAGTTTGGGCTCCCGGGGAGTATCACAGCCCTCACACATATCAAATGAGATCTGTGTGGCGTATATGTATTTGGTGCCTCCTTGTACCAATATCTATGTGTTCAAATAAATAAATAATAAATAATTATGATGTAGTGTAAGTTTAAATCAGTTTTGAAAATGTATAAAACCATAAACTGATGTAGACTAAAATATAAAGCTTATACAAAGTTACATGAGTCAATATAGGTGAGACTATTTAGCATATTTATGAATTACACTATTATTGATCAATTTTAGTTAATTATAAGGTAGTAACGTAAACTCAATAAATTTCTTTAACCACATTGAATTAAATATTTTAATACAACAGTGTTTGAGAGATCCCAAATGTGTTCTCTGAATTACTTTTCATTGATGTACTGAAACACATACTTTCGATCAAAGAATGTGCATACCATACGGACTTGGGTTATTTTTACAGCAAACAGTAATAAGAAAAGATTATAAACATACAAAGACACTTTATTATTTAAACCAATGAAAAACGGAACAAGAACTTACTGTAGAACAGGTTGTAATTTGATAATTTAGAGGAATATCGATTGAACTTAGTTCGGATTCGGATACAGTACGGAAATCCACTTTGTGTATACATGGTAGTGCTGGACAAATACCAATATCAAAAGTGTCGACTATAGGTTGATTGAAGTATTCCGTAACGGCAGCATTACGTAGAGCAGTTAGATCCATGCCATGAAAACTCTGGTTTGGGGAGAAGTATGTGTAATTAAAAAGCCGGTGAAAACATTAACGACTATGTGGATTAGAGTTGACTATTAATACTATCAATCACTAAATACACTGAGTAGTATTATCAAGAGTTATAAAATAAAAAATTAGAAACAGTATATTAATAACCAACGCAAACATGCAATGCCCCAATATATATGTTTTTTAATACAAATTGTACTCTATATATCTTAACATCACACAGATGAAACTGGTGAATAGAAGTAAGAAATGAAATTGTAACGAAAAGACAATGAATGGTGACAACAATACTCTTTCTAACTGGACTCATTTTTAACACTTGCACACACAGGATTAAAACCTAAGACGAATTGCTTACTCCACATTATGAAATAAATCTAACTTTATTACTAACGGGTGAGTTATTCATTTTCATCTAGGTTTACTGTCGGTCCCAAAACAACACAAAAGATTAGGGTTGGGCATAGTGTCAGCAACCCCACCCCGTAGAAAACAACCTTGCGGAAAAACCATAACCAGAAAACACAATTGCAATTCTGCCCTCCGAGTTGAACGATCTTCATTCAGAATGCCTCATAGTTAAAGCCGAGATTCTTTGGAAGTCCTGAGAACAAGAAGACTGCAAATAATAACAGCTGAACAAGAGCAGATGATGTCAAGGCATACACCGTATACACTGAAGTAAACAAACAAGTGACGAAGAGCATTAGAGCTGATAAGCAGAAATGTGTGGAAGACAGCAGAACAAGCTGCAACAGAAGGAAACACCAAACAACTTTATGACACGAAAAAGAAACGAGCAGAGAAATGTAGTAAACCAGAGAGACCGATCAAGGACAAAGAAGGCAAGACAATCACCGAGATTCAAGAAAGGAAGAACAGGTGGGTAGGACACTATGAAGAACTCGTAAATAGGCCAGCCCCATTGGACCCGTCAGACATCGAAGCAGCACATACAGATACTCCTACAGCAGTTACTCGACCCAAGATTGAAGGAGTCAGTACAGCCATCAGGCAAATCATGTGTTGGAAAACGGCACGACCAGAAAACATACCAGCTGATGCACTGAAGTCAGATATGAAAGCGACTGCAAACATGTTTGACATTCTACTCAGAAAGATTTGGGAGGAAGAACAAGTGCCGACAGACTGGATAACTCATCATGGTACCAGAGGAAGGAAATCTGAGCAAGTGTAGGAACTACAGAGGCATCACACTACTACCAGTATCAGGAAACGTTTACAACAGTGTTGTTAAACCGAGTGGAAGTTTCGGTAGACGCCCAACTTTGAGATCGACAGGCTGGATTCCGTAAGAATCGGTCGTGCGTCGACCAATGGAATTCGTCAGTATACATCAAATTCCTTGAATGAGAAAGCGTTTGATAGCGTGAATTGAAGAACATTATGGAACCATCCTCGATACTATGGTGTGTTTGAGATTATCTTCAACATCATACGGAATTCATACGATGAACTACACTGTGAAATCATGTATGGGAGACAGCTGACAGGCGCATTACAAGTGAACACCGACGTTAGACAGGGCTGCTTACTCTTGCTCTTTCTCTTTCTTCTAGTGGTTGACTGGGTTATGAAGACCTCTACATCTGAGGAAAAGCACGGAATACAATAGACAGCTTGCATGCAACGAGACAACTTGGACTTTAATATAGTGAAAATTCCCATTTACCAACTTGGACTTTGCAGATGACCTAGCTCTTCTGTCTCATACACACCAACAAATGCAGGTGAAGACAACCAGTGTACCAGTAGTCTGTGCATCAATAGGCCTCAACGCACACAAGGGAGAAAGCAAGGTTCTCGAATGCAACACGGAAAACACCAACCCAATCACACTTGATGGAGAAGTTCTAGAGGAGATGGAAGTCTTCACGTATCTGGACAGCATCATCGATTAACAGGGAGGATCAAACGCAGATGTAAAGGCGAGGATCGGCAAAGCGAGGACAGAATTTCTACAGTTGAAGAACATGTGGAACTAAAAACAACTGTCAATCAATATCACAGTTAGAATCTGCAATAAGAACGTCAAGACAGTTCTAATGTATGGGGCTGGAACTTGTAGGACTACGACAACCATCATCAAAAAATACAGGTATTTCTAAATAGCTACCTGCGCAAGATACTCAGTGTCCGTTGACCGGGTACCACCAACAACGATGAACTGGAGGAAAGAACAAACCAGCTTCCAGCTGAAGAGGAAATTAAGAAAAAACGCTGGAAGTGGATAGGACATACATTGTGGAAATCAAACCGCATCACGAGGGAAGCACTAACTTGGAATCCTGAAGGGGAACGGAGGAGAGGAAGACCAAAGAACACACTGAGTCGGGAATCGGAAGCAGACATCAAGAGGATGAACAACAACTAGAAAGGATTGTCCAGGACAAAGTTTAGTTAAGGATGCTGGTGGGCGGCATATGCTCTTGCACGAGGGGTAACAGGCGTTAGTAAATCATGGAGTTTGCAAAAAATTGTCTATTCGTTACTGTGAAATCGTGATCAGTTTGCTTATTGATACTACCCAACCTCGTTATCTGAACTGGATTTTATTGGATTTACTTTATTGCAAAACAAATCAGTTGAAGAGCGACAAGACTTAAATAACTGAATTACATGAACGATGTAATAAAGCTGACTCTCAGTATAGCGATAACTACTCGGAGAGATTAAAAACACCAAACCTAGAAAGTAGAATAACCACGCACTTTCCAAAGTTTGAGCAATCAAGGAGTTAATTTTCTGTGCAACTCCATTTGAATAACTGCCGACCCTATTTTTATTTATTCATTCATTCTCATGCTTGATGACCACTTCTGATGCTTCGAGCTTTCGAGATGCTAAATCTAGACTCCTGAAAACGCCATCCAAGCCACATACGGACAAACAGTATCGCTCCCGACCGTTGTTGCTACCTTGACGTGGTGGTCGGGCTTGCCTATCGTGGTGAAGCAACCGAGCTATACTGACTGGAACAACCGTTCCTCAAGGTCCTACCATGCCAGACAGGTCGGTTGAAGAGCGGTAAGACTAAAAGCAACAAACCCAAAGTCCGAAGGCGAAGTCGTACTGCTGACTGTACACAGGTGTGACAGCAGTAAGGTGTTTCCTTCAGACAACCATCATGACAGCGATGCTGCCTTCCCACAAGGAGGGATGGGGTTAGAAAAGGTTGACCCTAAAAATGCACATCTCGCCTTATCCCACGGATATCCGTCTCCGGCGGTAAGGTCTCAACAAGTACGGAGCTAACACAAAAATTACCCATAAAAAGGTCGTGTGTGACCGACCTCAAGCAGTTGTCCCTTGGGCACCGTGGTCACGCTCTTAAGTCACTAAGACCACCTTTAATCCAATTTCCTTTTCAGGTACCTCCAGAAGAACCCTTCCACAGTGTGGGCAACCGGGATGTGATAACCGCCCTCATACCTCTAACAGCACTCAAGACCACTGTATTCATAATCAACCTCCGTCTTCACTTCCTATTATTCCTCCTACATCGACTTTCACCTCTAAACTTCCTTTTTCGGCTTCCTCCTCAAGTGCCACCACAGCCAACGATTCTAGTGCCTAAAACACTGTCCAAGGTCTACCGAAACCTCGCCCCACACTACACATTGGAGCCTTTAACGTACGCACCCTATGTCAAATCGGTCGACAGGCTTCTCTGGCTGTTGGGTTAAACGGCTTCGTAAGAACTCAGAAGGATAGAGACACACGTCGTTGCCTTTTTGTCGTTTCTGCCTACGCTCCCACCGACTGCAGCTCAGATGAAGTGAAAGATGAATTTTACAGAAAGCTATCTGAACTTCTTCAGAAAGCTAAACGTCCAGACATAGTACTCGTAGCAGGTGACTTTAATGCCCAGATAGATAGTTTAAACCAAACAGAAAGGCATTTAGGTGGGTATTTTAGTATTCCGGCACAACGAACAGATAATGGTGATCGTCTGCTGCAACTGTGCTCAGACAATCGTTTATTTTTAGCAAACACAAATTTTAAGCATAAGGAGAGATATCGTCTAACATGGCGACCCCCTACACCAAACCAATGATGGACTCAAATAGACCATATTGCCATCGGTCATCGTTGGAGAGGGTCGGTAGAAGATTGTCGCTCATTCTGGAGTACCTGTTTGGACTCCGACCATGTCTTAATACGGGCACCCATCTGCTTGCGCCTCACCGGACGCAAAAATGCCACACTAAAATTTTATTTATTTATTTGAACACATATATATTGGCACAGGAGTGCGCCAAATATATATGCGCCACACAAAACAATGAGAATTTAAGAAGAAAAGGAAAAAAAAGTGGGGAACGTACAAAAAAAAAATAACGAAGAGATTGGTGTAAGGTAGTGTAATAATAATAGTAATAGTAGGGGAACAGAAGGGTACAATCAGAAAAAATCTTTCAGTTAAGGAAGATACAACCACTTTTTACGAAGTAAAAGAAGGTTACAGCAGGATCGCCACTGGCTTCTATTCTGAGCCATACCTGATAACGTCTCTAGCCACTGTGTAGCACCATCTCTCGGACCCCAACCAGGGAGTCGTGAAGGACCAACAGAAGCCAGTCCTTTGCAGCTTTCTTTCATACCACGACACCATGTCATATACTGACCACCTCTCCGCTTTCTCCAACCAGTCCCAGAGTCGGCAAATAATGCATGACGTGGAATTCTCTGGGACGACATTCGTAGAACACGTCCAAGCCACCGAAGTCGGTGTTTCAAGATGGTGACACCAATTGCATTATCATCTCTGTGCCCGAATACACGATGCCGAACCTCTGCATTACTAACATGTTGCCACTGGATGTCAGCAATCCTTCGGAGACAGCGATGATCGAACACAGAGAGTCGTCTAACGTCCTCAACTCGGAGAGACCAGGTTTCACAAGCATAGAGCAAAACTGCTCTCACCGACGCGTTGTAGATCCGACCTTTTACAGCCAGACTAACATCACGAAGGCGCCAAAGATGGCCCAGATTGGCATAAGCCGCTCTGGCTTTCACTATACGTGCATTGATCTCATCACTCACACCCCCACCAGCACTTATGCAGCTACCCAGATACACGAACTTCTCGACTACGTCTATCTGCTCACCATCCAGGGTGAGTACAGGATTAGAATCCTGCCAGTCTTGTAGAAGTACTTTGCACTTCGAAGGTGCGAAGCACATACCATACCTACGGACACTGATTGCCAACTGATTAAGTGCGGATTGCACGCCTTGGGCACTATCGCACAGTAAGACAATATCGTCCGCATACCCAAGGTCGAGAAGTCTTTCTCCAGGCAACAGATCCACACCACCATTACTTACATCCATCAGAGCTGTTTCCAGAATGTCATCGATGGCAAAGTTGAAGAGGAATGGTGAGATTGGGCAACCCTGCCTAGCCCCACTGCTCGAATAGAACAATGGAGAAAGGTGGTTGTATGCCCTCACTCTGCCTGAGGTGTTTGTATATAGGGCTTTTAGGATGTTAATAAACTTCTCAGGCACACCCTTCTTCAATAGACAATTCCAGAGAACAGTCCTATCCAACGAATCGAAGGCAGCCCTGATGTCAAGAAACACTACGATTGTTGGCCTTTGATAAGTATGACGGTGTTCTAACATTTGGTGGAAGGTGAAGATATGATCAATACATCCTCGACCAGAACGAAACCCAGCCTGCTCCTCGCGAGTCAATCTTTCTCGGGTTTTGAACAACCTACGAAGTATGACGGAAGCCAATAGCTTGGACGCAATCGAAAGTAGACTTATCCCCCGATAGTTGTTACAGGAACAACGTAAACCCTTTTTAAAGATAGGGACAACTATCGACTCATTCCATGACGTTAGTACACTCTCTAGATGCCGAACCTTTGTAAACAACGTCGTCAATTCCTTAGTCAGAAAGTCACCACCATCTTTAAAAAGAGCCGGAGGTAAGTCATCTGGGCCAGGTGATTTGTAACGCTTCAAGAGTTGGAGTTCCTTGCGGACTTCCTCCTCGTTTGGTGGATCATTCGTCACCGGCCATGGAAGGCAGGACAGTCTGACCGATGTTGCCGGAGCAGCAGGCCAGTTGAACTGCCCTTCAAAAAATTCTGCCCATCGTCCAAGACGTCGATGGATGTTAGTGATTGGCATCCCATCATCCTCGCAGATTGTTTCGCTCACACCAGACTTCTTGCTGCCAGTGGCTCGGATGAGCGAAAACAAATCAGATCTAGATTAAGCAAAAGTCTATGGAACGACCGTGAGCAGTGGTGGATAACGAAAACAAGAGATGGAAAAGGCGGCGGTTATAGGGAACACAATATAGCTCTACAGACTAATAAAAGAAACTGGAATTGATAAGTCAAGTGTAAGTCAGACTATTTCGGAAAAAGACGACACTCTCGTCTGCTCTCAGTCCAGACGTTTAGAACGATGGGCGGAACATTTCAGAGAACAGTTCAACTGGCCTTCAGCTACTCTACAACTACCCTCCATTCCAGACAGCGTGAATGGAAGATTGAAGTAGGTCCCCCAACTCTAGCAGAAGTTCAAAAGGTTATAGTTAATCTGAAACGAGGAAAGGCAGCTGGTCCAGATGGATTGGCTCCAGAGGTCTTTAAGGATGGTGGTTCAATTTTAGCGATTAGGTTGACTAATATTTTAGCTAAGATCTGGGAGTTAGACGTTATTCCATCTGACTGGTCACAATCACTTATCGTCCCAATATATAAGAGTGTTAAAATCATCCTGTGACAACCATAGAGGGATTAGTTTAACTACTATAATATCTAAAATACTAGCCTCGATAATTATCAGACGCCTAACTAAGACTCGTGAACTGCAAATACGAGAGAACCAAGCTGGCTTTAGACCTGGTCGTGGCTGCATCGACCACATATTCACCATTCGTCAGATTCTAGAATATAGGCATACTTATCGGCGTCTTTCTTGACTTAAAAGCAGCATTTGACTCCGTAGACCGCGAGATTCTGTGAGTGTCTGTCATTGAAAGGCGTACCTCAGAAGTACATAAACCTTGTGAAGGCTCTTTACTCGAACACTACCAGTCGAGTCAGAGCTTATGGCGAACTCTCATCTGCTTTTGCAACCTCAAGTGGTGTCCGTCAAGGCTGTCCACTTTCTCCATTTTGTTTAACTTCATCATAGACCTATTGATGGAAATAACATTCTCGTCGACTGAATTCTCGGGTATTGATCTTCTTCCAGGAGGTCCACTTATCGACTTAGAATACGCAGATGACATAGTCCTGTTTGGTGAAGACGCTGACAAAATGCAGAGTCTTCTGGTAGCACTGAGCAACAATGCCAGGATGTTTGGAATGCGCTTCTCTCCCTCTAAATGCAAGTTGTTGCTTCAGGACTGGTCTGCGTTAACACCTGAACTAAGGATAGGGAGTGGAGTAGTCGAACGCGTTGACAACTTCACTTATGTTGGAAGTCTGATCAACCCTAATAGGTTGGTGTCTGACGAAATCTCAGCACGGATTCGAAAAGCTCGTTTGGCTTTTGCCAACTTACGTCACCTATGGAGAAGGCGAGATATCCGTCTATCAATTAAGGGACGGGTATACTGCGCGGCAGTCCGTTCTGTTTTAATTTACGGCAGCGAAACATGGCCATTAAGAGTAGAAGACACTCGTAAGCTATTAGTATTTGACCACAGATGCCTTAGAAATATTGCTGGCGTCTGCTGGGATCACCGGGTAAGTAACAGTAAGATTAGACGCAAGGTTTTAGGAGGAAATGATGGTGAATCAGTTGATGAATTTGTGAATCTACATCGACTCAAGAGGTTGGGCCACATGTTACCTATGCCTGAACACCGATTACCACGACGTGCAGTGCTAACCGGTGTTGGAGATGATTGGAAGGAAGTTAGGGGCGGCCAAACCAAAACGTGGCATCAGTGCTTGGAGTCACTAACTTCTAGTCTTAGCCATGTTGGTAGATGCAGACAACTTAGTTGGGGTCCGCGTGACTATCGTAACCAATGGTTGGAAACTCTGGGTGACATGGCTCAGAATCGATCACAATGGCATAGGTGTACACACTCTCTTTCTTCCCCTAAACTAAGAGATTAAAATCACTTCATATCTTTCTTTCTACCAACTAATTCTTCCTTCATTTACTATATCCTTATTGCAATCTTTCTTTTATATATTACCACCTCTGAATTAACTACTTTAATAAATCCGGTGTCCATCTTGTTGTGTTAATGAGGTATGGCAACTTGGACCGATGCATATATGTGCCTGGTCCTACGTTGTTGCTGACTGACTGACTGAAACAGTATCGCTAATATTGGGCGTTGGAGAGGACCAGTAGAGAAATCCAACTTCTAAGGGTACAATATTCGATAAACACCTGCAGTTGTTTAACCGACCACAAACAAACCAAAGTATGGAAATCTTTGAGTTTAGGTCGAAGATAAGAATATCAAGTACGCAGCCAAGGATAATTTGCAAGGGCGAGATAACTGGACAGTAACAATTAGCAGAAACTAAAATGATAATGCCTTTACAATTTTGTTGATGTAAACGAACAAAATAATTTGAAGACTACTAAACTAACCTGTTGATACCAAAAGTTAGCTTTCCCGTACTGTTCAGCGAAGAGTGCCTCATCACTGAATGGAACAATATACAAATTTGCTACAGACGGGAACATTATTCCGGGGCAAGGTAATGATCTATTAGATAATTTTGTCGCGCCATCATGTACCTGATCCTCTATGTCAATATCTTCACAGTCCAACTCATCAGTTAATACTTCATCAGAATGCTCAGAATCTGACAACTGTTTGACATATGGTGATTGATCATCTTCATTAAGTCGTTCATGCTCACGTCTGTTCTGCTTCTTTTTTAATGGCTGTCGAAGATGTGGAGCTAGAAACTTTCTTGCATGAACATACGATTCTAACATTCTCTCGTTGTATAACATATAACCCATTGGCTCAGATATAATGACATCCACTGGTTCGGGCAAAGTGATTTCTTCTATTTTCCCACTAAGAGTAAAATAGTTTTAGTAAGTTTTTGAGTGATAAATTTAACCTAAGTATTGAAAAGTGTGAACTTTATTTCTAGACAGGTGTATTAAGCAGAATGAACAAAAAATACCGATTTATCTCAAATGTGAAAAGAATTTCACAAATTTAGCTTCAAACTAAGTGCCAATAACTTGTTTAACTAAAGTGACTCGTAAGTAACAAGTGTAGAAATGACGAATGGATTGTTGACATAGTATATGAGACTTAAATTCAGAGTTGGTGTTAGCGGGACATAGACTCGATTAAAGCATGCTCAATGCACGATTTCTTTGCTGCACGCTGATTGGCTAATTCTTATCCAATCAGCACTAGTCGATAGTTGGAGAATACTCTAGAATCTTCTCATGTGAAAACTATAAATATACTGACGTTTTCTCTATTGTGCTTCTTACTTGCATCTTACTTCCATCTAACCTTGTTATTTGGAATACAATTTCTTTCCTGTTCAACCGTGTTCTGATTTGGGGACTTGTCGAGTGATTGGTGTCCGAGAATACTAAGCGATAGGAATAGCTGGGTCATAACCGTAAGAAAGAGATTATAACAGTTGGTAACTTAGTATCACGGTACGAACTTTATTAGCGCCCTAATAATATGGTCGGAGAACATTAATAAGGTACTAAACGTTTCGGTATACTGGTACCCCAAATATAAATATAAATCAGTAGTGTCTGAACTGGCGATTTTTAAAATAGAGGATTATTGGAATTCAAATGTTTATGAATGATGCAATTCAGCTTGAATTACGTATGTAGTCATCATGATAATATCAACACCATATATCGATATCCAAATGTTGCACAAGCAATAAATACGCACATTCAAGTTGATAAGTCTAATACAAGACATTGATGAGGCACTTATTTTGGACAACTTTTAAAATGTACTTAATTCCCCAATACTTCATTAAAATCATTAAATAGTAGTTGTTTACAATTTGCGCTTTTGCTTAAATCGACTATCTAGTCGGAAACTTCGTGGTGTAATATATTGGCTTTGATGAGATTTTAAAACATTAGATAAATAATCATAAGCAGTCATAAACACTAACTAACCTGATGACAACAATGCGTCCCGCCAATTTATTTGCTTGAACTAGACTATTACAATGAGTAGCCATATTAGATGCTTCAACAGCATAAACCCTTGTTGCACCAGCTTGGATTGCGAAGAAGCTCAAAATTCCTGAGCCAGCTCCAACATCCAATACCACTTTTCCGCGAAAGTCGGCGGAAGCATTTGCGAGAATAGCTCTTTGGTAGGTTGAAGTGCGAATATAGTCCTAAGAAATATAAATCAAATAGAAGTAAACAAAGTGTACACTAGTGAACCATTACAGGAAATCAAAATAAGTCGGAATAATGTCCAGAAACCCATTGTAGCTTTATGAACAATCCACAAGTTATGCAAGTGTCAAACTCATAAAGTGCAAATAGGAGTGAATTAGTTACATGTTTGTAAATGAAACCGTGAAATGTTTAGTGCCTAGAAACGGGACGGGTGGTTAGCTTTATTAAGTTTGGAAGCTATTGTTAGATGGGTATTAAGATGTTGACTTCGTTTTCGAGCAACAAGCGAAATGCATGTGAGTGATAATCATTTCAAAAAATCAATAATTGAGTCATTACACATCACTACCTGCATTCAAAACGCCTTAAGCTGATAAGTCAAAGGTCACAAATAATTAAGGTAGCAACATATGAACTAGTGGTTACATTACAATACAAACAGGTACGTTTATTACAAATGACATTAATTAAATGACCGTGTAGCCGAGTTCTAGAGATTAATGCATGTGGTGGATGTGTATGAACGTCAATGAGGATAATCTGAGTTTATGTTCTAAGGCAGCGTCAAAAATGTAGTTATAAGGAAAAAAAAGACCTTAGATTGTAGGTTAGTTTACAGTGAACACGTCTAAGCAGAATGTTGCAGCAGTGAACAAGTTTACATTACTGAATTTGAATTGAGAGGAATTAGCGAAGTAAATATTAAGAATGCACGTCGGGGATGGAAAACAAAAGAATCTGATGAATATAGAAGATTAAAAAAGAATGCATTCGTGCAGATACGATTATACTTGCAATTTTCATGCTATAATTTGCCCATGAAGGTACACTTCTGACACGCTATCAATGCCCTTAAACAATATACCATTCAAAACCTTCCGAGTACACTTCCATGTTCTGTACACTTTGAAGGCCAAACAAACTACATGTTTGCTTACATGGAAGTGTGTGAAGATTTAGGGTTTGAAGTGATGGGTTAAGTACAATGAAACTGATGAAAAGATGACACCAATAGGGTACATTGAAAGTATCGATAGACATCACAAACTGCTTGACGCAAATTGCCACTTTATTATTATTAAACGGGCCTGATAAGCAGTTACCGAGACCTTTTAATTTCTCTACATTTTCTTTTGAGACTAGTACTGATTACAACTTTCAGTGTACTAAAGCATGTTTAGGTTCACAATCCAGGTAAAGAATAAAGGTAAGTGGTGCGATACTCAAAAAGGAATAACTTATCAGAAATTCTGAAGAATTTCTGAAAACATACCTGCATCATATTTTGTTGCTGACTGATGTAACTGTAAAATTGGAAATATTGTACTGCAGACCAAGAGTCAGTACGCTTATCGAAAATGGAAGTGCGGGTCTCCTTCTTGTCCTCTTCACATAGCGGTTTCAGTAGACCCGAAGAATTCTGTGCAATTTACTTACAAAACACATAGCACTTACTAAAAAGCTACGGACATCCCCTGGAGAATCGAACCCCAACAAATAAGTAGTGAAGACCGCGTCCCCGACGCATTTTTTCGTACAGACAGCTACTGTTTTTTGTGAGAAACGATATATATTAGCCAGAGAGGAAATATGGATTTCCCTGACGGTGTCATTATCCCTACTTTTGTGGCAGTGAAAACACTCCAATGCACTTACCGAAGAGAAATCACTTTAGAGTTTCTCAATCCAACTGTCAATCCAGTTCCGAGCGTTCGACAAGTGAACTGGGCCTCATCAAATATACGAAGCTCCACATTATGATACTCCGCTGACATGCCTGCGCGCCAAACTCAATTTCCCCGGGTATAAATCAGTTTCAGTTTCACTTTGGGAAGGACAGGAGGCCTGGTGGCCTGTATTAGTCCTGGCAATGGTGGTCCCTTAGTTGATCCAACTTTCTTTTGAAAGAATCGACGGACGGAGCCTCAACCACGTGCTGAGGTAATGAGTTCCACTCGTTGATGATTCAATGGGAAAGTCGATAGTCAGCTGACAAGTAATTTGTCCTGGGCTTGCGAATTTTTTTGGAGTGTCCTCGTAAATTCTCTGTTTTGGAAGACAAGGAAAATGAGGGCATATCAGGTGCAAATTAGGCACTAAGTAATTTGAAAACTGTAATCAAGTCGTACCTAGTTCTGCGATATGACAACGGGAATAGGTTTAGCTTGGGCAGTCGAGCATCATACAAAAGCTTCGCTATTCCGGGAATCAGCTTGGTTGCTGCTCTCTGAACCTTTTCCAAAAGCTCATTGTCCCTGAGGCACCCCACTAAGCACAGTTCCCCAGCTAGATAACTTTGAGTTCACTCGTACTCTTTGTTGACGCCCAACTAGGAAGTCTTTTATCCACATAAATAGATTGTCTACAATCCCGACATTTCTTAACTTATATAACAGCCGGTTGTGCGGAACCTTGTCAAAAGCTTTGCTGAAATCAATGAAGGCTACTTCTACAGATAACTTTTGGTCCTTAAGAGCGCACCAGCTTTCACGAGCCACTAATAAGTTAGTGAGACAAGAATAATCTATTCTAAAGCCATGCCACTCCTCCAAAAGGATCCGGTTTTCATCGAGGTACTTAAAAAGCTCTTTCCGAATAATCTTTTCTAAGATTTTAACAACCACACTAGCTAGGCTAACGGGGCAGTAATTCTCAGGTTTGTGTTTCGTACCTGTTTTGAAGACAGAACTTACTATGGCGTTTTTCCAGTCTTTGGATAAACGACCCTGCGTTACGGTTAGGTTAAAGCATATACTTAAAGGGTTCGCAACGAAGTTAGATAATTCCTTCATTAGCCTAGGATGTAATTCATTAGGCCACGTGGATTTACCTATGTCAAGCTTATTTCGTAGACCAAAGACATCGAGTCCTTTAATGGTCACGCTATCCAGTGTATGTGTGGGGGATCTGTTTGCACTGACAGGAAGGGTGCTTCTATGGTATATACATTGCTAAAGTAGTTCGAGAACACATGAGCCTTACCAAAGTCGTCCTCCACTAATGATGAAGCAGTAGTGTCTCCCCATAGAGCAGGAATATTTCCTTTTCTCTATGTCCTTTGGTTCATATAAGAATACAAGCGTTTAGGGAATTCTATGGATTCCCTAACAATCTTTTCTTCGTGCAACTTTCTAGACTTACGGAGGGTCGAGGCACAGGTATTCCGGACATTTCTATACTGGGATTTAGTTTCATCAGTCCCCAGTAACCTAAATCTATCCCACATTTTTCTTCTCTTATGGAGAAGGATATGAACCCACTACTGAACCATGGTGGGGATATTCTCGGCCCCCTTGGTATAGTCCAAGGGATGTGGGGTGTGATAACTTTTAAGTATGAATTTCGAAATGCGTCTCAGGCCGTTTCAATTGAGGACTCTGGGTCTGTTGTCCAATCTACTAACGATGCTGAGTGCATGATATCTTGTATGTTTGCTTTCCAGACGTTAGGTCTGGATTGGACTGACGCGTGCTCATGACTGACAGTTATATGGAAGTCGAGAGTTGATTAAGCAGCTGTTTAATCAGCACAATGTCATGCTCAAAACGAGCTTTAGGTTCAGAGCTCTTGTAACAGCTTAGGTTGGTTGGTTAAGAGTTGACCCCAAACAACCAAGCATATGCCAAAACAGTATCGTTCAAGTATTCACTCACTTCCTTATTTTGTATAAGCGTTATATTCCCTAATATCTTATATTGAATGTTGAGAGCCTTTGTTTGTCTGAACAGATAATCCCACGCTCCACTGTGACCGCGCTAAGATCGAAATAAAGACCTAATCACTACTTGTTTGGTTTCTTCTATCAATAGCACGAGGGTTACTTAAAGGCACGAAATTGGTGAGCCCTTTTTGAACACAAATTTAACCTCATTTCTGTTATTAACATTTTTTTACTTAATCGTAAAAGTAGACCTGATTATCCGTAAACTAATTTGAGTATATAACTAGTTTATTCCGTATTATCTTAAGTTATTCGTGTTGTAGTAACCATTTTTTGTGCTAACTTTATTGCTATATTTGTCACATACTCATGTCAGACTCAATAGAAACCCATAATCTGGAGGATTTGTCACCAGTGGAGATAGACACTGTTATGACTACGAAATCTTGACTTCCAGAATTTGATCGTAGTGATCCTGAGTTGTGGTTTGCTCAACTAGAGCATTATTTCACGAGACACAATATCAAATCTGAAGGGATTCGCTATAGAGATTTGTGTTCTATCCTTCCTCCTTCAGTCGCCAAAGAAGTCCGTGACTTGATTCTAGATCCACCATCACCACAACACTACACCACCTTAAGACGAGAGATAATGAACCGTTTATCATTATCAGATAGTCAAAGAATCCAAAGACTTTCTCAAGGTGAAACACTAGGTAATCGGTCGCCGTCACAGTTTTTACGTCACCTCCAAGTCTTAGTGGGTGATAACACAGTGGGTGAAGCAGTCCTAAAACAAGGATGGGTACAAGCTCTCCCATACTACGTCCAACACTGTTTGGATGCACAGGATCCTGAAACCTCATTATCTCATTTAGCGCGTATAGCCGACAGAATAATGGAAAGAGGTCCTCCAACTGGATCAGGCACAATAAATCATACACAAAAAGTAGAATCAGAAAAAGACCCCGTAATAAAAGGACTCATTGCGAGTGTTAAGAGTCTCACTGAGGCTGTCACCAGAATGCAAATGGGTCATAGAAACAGAAGCAGGTCACCACAACGACCACGATCCAAGTCACAAAACAGGTCACAAATGTCCAGACAATCTGGGCAGTTTTGTTGGTACCACTGGAAGTTTGGTGTCAACTCAACCAAGTGCATGCAACCATGCGCCTGGCCTAAGCATAATTCTAAGACAGCGGGAAACGAGTAACCCCTCCCCAGGTCGCGACGACTGAGGAGGGGCGCCTAAACAGTCGCTTGTTTTATGTTAGAGACAGAAACTCTGGCTTGAATTTCTTGGTGGATACTGGCGCTGCTCTTAGCATCATCCCTCAAAATAAAACTGAGATTAGTCGAGAAACATCATCAATTACACTTCAAGCTGCAAATAAAACTAAAATCGCGACATTTGTGCAGAAAACTTTAACCCTAGATTCGGGGTTCAGGAGGCAATTCCCTTGGGTTTTCACGGTAGCCGACTTAGACCTGGCAATACTGGGGATGGACTTTCTAGAGAGATACGAATTTCTAGTTGACACCAAAAAACGGCGATTAACACTAAAAGAAACTTCGTATTATACAAAAGGCAAAGAAAGTCACATCAGCTCTCTTAACTTGATTCAAACTCCCCCAGTAACAACAGCGAAATTCCAAGATATACTCGCGGAATTTCCAAACTTAACTAAACCAAACCGACAGCCTTCCAAAGACAAACTAAAAGTGAGTCACACTATCAAAACCGAAGGTGCACCGGTGTTTGCAAAACTCAGGAGACTAGCACCAGATAAGCTCAAAATCGCTAGGGCCGAGTTTGATTATATGGTACAATTGGGTATTATCCGTCCCTCTGATAGTCAATGGGCATCCCCTTTGCATATGGTCCCAAAGAAGAATGAAGGTGACTGGCGACCGTGCGGGGATTACAGAGCCCTAAACCGTCAAACCGTACCAGATAGGTACCCAATACCTCATATCCAAGATTTCACCAACGGTTTACAGGGTATGAACATATTCACTAAAATTGACTTAGTCAGGGCATATCGCAATATCCCGGTGGCTGATGAAGATATTCCCAAGACAGCTATTACAACACCCTTTGGCTTATTCGAGTTTGTACGCATGCCATTCGGCCTGAGAAATGCGGCACAGACATTTCAAAGATTCATAGATAACCTACTTCGAGATATGCCATTTGCGCAGGGGTATATAGACGACTTGTTAATTGCCAGCCCCGATTTGCAATCACACGAACAGCATGTACAAGCAGTGTTGAAAAGACTGGATGAACATGGAATAAACATACATCAAAGTAAGTGTGTTTTCGGTGTTCAAACTTTAGAATTTCTCGGTCACACAATAAGCCCAGAAGGGATTAAACCTATAAAAAAAGAAGTGGATACCATCAAACAATACCCCGTACCTAGTTCTCTAACACAACTGAGAAGTTTTCTAGGCCTAATTAACTTCTATCGCAGATTCATACCAGGTTGTGCACAATTAATGCAACCTTTGACAGATTCACTTAAAGGAAAACCAAAAGAATTCAAACTGTCTTCTGACGCCATCGAAGCTATTAAACAGCTTAAAGATAAACTGGCTCAAGCAACTACGTTGATATATCCGAATTCTCTTTCCCCACTTGCTTTGATGGTGGATGCTTCAGATAAAGCAGTAGGCGGTACCCTTAACCAACTGGTTAAAAACGCCTGGAAACCAATTGCTTTCTTCTCGAAACGACTCGCTCCAGCCGAAACAAGGTATTCTACCTTCGGGCGAGAACTTCTTGCAATCTACCTGACCATTAAACACTTCCGACACATGTTAGAAGGTAGGGAATTTATAGTCTTTACGGATCACAAACCACTGACAAATGCATTAAAAGCGAGAGCCGATAAATACTCACCTCGAGAAGTCCGACACCTTGACTATATATCACAGTTCACAAGCGATATCCGACATGTCAAAGGTCAGGACAATCAGGCGGCAGATGCTTTATCCAGACTAGAAATGAACGTGCTACAGCAGTCTACAGTAAACTTCGAGACGTTAAGACACGAACAAGAGCAGGACCTAGAATTACAAAACCTACTTAAAACAAACAATTCAAGTC